TAAAGCTAATTAGCTATCACCTAATAAAGTGATAGCTTTATTATTGTCATTCACTCAGTCACTCAGCAAACATTCATTTGGAGGCGTCCGGGCGCCAAGAAGGCGAGCTGGATCTGAAGTGCTACCTTAGACAGTAAGTAAAACAGGTCCTTGTGCACCAGTCCTGCCACCTACTGGGGGAGACGGACAGCAGTCATGTTGACATGCCCCCAAAGGCACCAGGGCCAGCCCCCGGGCTTCCCTGTTAAACCCACCATGACCCTAATGGGAATAATGCTGAGGCTGGCTGGGGGACAGAGAGACAAGGATATGGCAGGAGGGTGGGGGTGGGGACTTGGGGTGCCCCTTGAGTCACACAGCACAGAGGGCTGCCTCTCTGGATATATTAGCATCACAGTGCGCCCCCAGACCAACTTCCCTTTCTGTCCCAAACGTCATTGACATCGTGTGATCAACACCCTCCCAGAGCTCTCCGGGTGTCCAGTGGGTCGGGGGCACTGAAGGGGTCCGTGCCTTGCAATTCTAGCCTTTCCCCCACTGAGGAACCACCTGCAGGCGCTCCTGAAGAGCCCGGGCTCAGCCCTTGTCACCTCTGCAGGCAGGGGACCTGACCTGGTTTATACCACCCTTTGGCATCCTGGCTCAGTTACTCACGGTGGGAGGGCTGTACCGATTTGAAGAAGGGCAAATCACAAATGTCAACTGGCTGAGACCCAAGTGCCAGGTTCTTGCCAGAGGCGCTGCTTTTACACCAGCCGGCACACAGTCGAGCCCGGAATGAAAGAGGCTGACAGTCCATTAGCAGCAGAGTGGTCTGCGAGGCTCGGAGGAACAGAGCTGTCATCCACTCCACTTCAAGGGCAAAATCAACTCTTTGTGTGCGTGTGTGCGCGCGCACGTATGTGTGTGCGTGTGTGTATAGTCTCTAAAAAGAGGAACATTAATCACAGCTGTGCCTGCTAAAATAGGCACACAGACAACAATCTGACAGCACAGAGAGGAAGTGGTGACATATTTCTTGTCCTCTGTCCTTCCAACCCCTGGGAGCAGGTTTGAGAGAAAATCCCAGAAAAACAGAACCACTCTATCCCAGGATTGGGAGACCCTTAAGGTCTTCTTGTCCACCCCTCTGACATCCAAGGCTTTGCTTCAATGTTTCTGACAAGCCATCCTTCACTTGAATGCCTCTCGTCACAGGGAGCTCACTACTACTGTGATGTTTTGAATATCCCACCTGCCAATTTCTCTAATGGCTGGAAAGTTCTTCCTGACCTAAGAGCTTAAACTTGGGGCCATGTTAACTTCTATCCATTGGTCCTAGGTTTGACCTTTGAAGTCACACACACACACACACACACACACACCACACACACACCCCTCTGGTTAGTCTCCTTGACATGCCGACATTGTTCTAAGTGTCCTGGCCAGTGTGCCCATTGCTTTCGGGACAAGATCCAGTCTGTTAATCATTATCTTCAAAATGCAGTTCCCATACCGGGGACATAAGATCTCTGCTGCAGCTGTTACCAGCGTGAAAACACACACGCACGTGCACACACACACACACGTGCACACAGAAATAAAGTTCCTCTGACTGCATTTTCATCCATTTCTCATTTCATACCGTATTGCCAAATGCCTTGCTGAGATCCAAGTGTATTCTAACCATGGCATGTTTTTGACCCATCCCCAGATTGACTATCAAGAATAAAAATAAACAAACAAGAAAGGAAAAGAGCTCAGAAACGGACCCAGCCCCCTATATAGAATCCAACAACACAGGGATGGCAGGGCCTGCACTTTTCCTTGTTCTGGACACTAATCGCCTATTAATTTGCCTCGGATCACATTAACCTTGACGGAAGTCAGAACTCATTACTGACTCAAACTGACCTTCGGGCCAGGTAACAGGCTCCGATTTTGGTGTGTTGGTTTGAACACAGGACCAACGGAAAAATTAATAACATGTGATGTACTTCATTGCCCCACTCCAGAAGAAGCCAGCATGGAGTCCCCAGGTTGGGATTTTGGGCAAAGGTCCTGCAACGGCTGGAGACGCAGGAAGTGCTTTGAACAGGGGAGGTGGACTTATTAGATTGTGGTGCGAACAGGTGCTTCCCGCCCAGCCAACACCCCTGGCCTCCTGCTCCCCCCACCCGAGACCCAGGAGTCCTGGGTGATCCCAGAGGGATGGGAGTGGGCCCAACAGGTGACTGAGGTTGAATTTCCAGCCACCCCTCTGGGAAGCAGAATAAATCTGACTCACAGAAATAAAGGCACGGGATATTGTATCCCAGGGTCGTTGATAAAATTCACACTCACCACATCTACTGCTGCCGCGCCACAGATCTCCCCCTTCTGACATCACACGAGTTGATTTGGGGACCCAAGTAGACTTATTCATGCGAATTTTCTCCTTTGACCCATCAAAGCAGCCTTTCGATTTATGAGGATCCTAATGGTCAGCCATTTTCTAAGCTCTTCCTCCAAGGTTTAAAAAAGCCTGCGATTTAGGCTAATTCCAGTCATTGACAGGTGTTGGATCCGGCCGGCTGGAGGGTGGAGGGCAGAGGGCAGGCTCACATGGGCTTGCCCCTTGACAGGACGCCCTCATCAGCCAGCTCTCTCCCTGCAGTGTGTTCCGTCTCCCACAAATTCCTCTGACTAGACTGGTATCCGGTCTGCATATCTCTGCTCTGTTCCTAGGGACACATTGTCAAATGCCAGCTGAAACCCAAATGTCCTCTATCAACTACATGTTCTCCATCCATCAGCGCAGCGACCCTACCAAGGAAACAGAAAACGAATGCAGGACAGGACAGAGGAAGTGAGGATGACCTGGCCCGGCTGGTTCTAAGCGGTCCCTCCCGTCTTTCCTAAAGGCCCCTCAAATCTGGCCAAACCCCTATCCAGATTCGTCGGCGGAGGCCAGGCGCCGCACCCGCACCCCCGCCGAATGGCCCGGTGTTCCTGCGCTGTCCTCCTGAGATTCATGAATCAGTTCACAGCAAGACAGGAAGTAGGAGAAAAGCAGAGACAACTGATAAGACATTGTTTTTATTAACAAGTCTAAAGAAAACCTTCATTGAATCAGGGGGTGTAATACAAATTATGGTGACCTGTATATAAAACCTGGCACCAAATCCGGCCTTTTAGAAACATTTATATAAAAAAATACGCGTTAAAATCTGTACCATGATGCAGTGCAGAGGCCGGATGTCACCTCCCGACACATGTGCTTGCAAAGGTGGGTCTGGTCTGGGGATACAGGGAGCTCTGGTCCTGCGGCCACCGGAGTGAGCCCTGTGTGAGAATGGCCTGCTCTGAAGAGATGCCACGAGAGCCTATCTTTGAAGGCAGGACCCCTATGAGCACCAAAATGCCACAGGCCTGGCGTCAAAACGAGAGTGGTGCTGGGAAGAATGGCAGGAGAGGAGGGCCATCCTTCCTTCTCTTGTCACTGGGCTCTAACCACCATTCGAGGATTCCGGAGCTCTGCAGTCAAACCACCTTTAATTTTGGAGGAACGTTTGCAATTTCCAAGTATGTTTTTTCCCAAGTAGACTGACCAATCTTAAGGAACCAACTCATAATCAGCCTGACTTTAAGGGTGAAGAGCTAATTCTTGTCATTTTTGGCAGGCCGGGCCCCTGAATCACCTATCTGAAAGGCTGCTGTAATCACAACGGAAAAGCATGATGATGACGGTCTCAATCTATTTCAGTCTTGGACCAAATGCAACTGGGCAACTGTAGCCCAGAAATTACACTTTGCTGGCAATGAAGTGAAAAGCAGCACTGGAATTCCCCCATCCTGGGCACAAATGATCTCTGCACAAGGCCACTGAAGCCTTTGGGAGCAGCGGGGTCAATGCTGCTCATCTGTCTTCAAAGACGAAGACACGGTTCCTTCTCCGGCAGGGCCTTTCTTCCGGCTGAACAGGGTCAGGACTGTGTCTGTCAGCTTATTCGTTCAGGGAAGAGCTGATTTCCCTGGGGCTCTGTGGAAAGTGACAACTGTCCTCAACTCAGCTGCTAAGCTGCTACCCAAACAGTCAGGCTGCACGGACAGGAGACGCACAAATGGGAACCGGACAGAAATGGGGGGTGGGCACAGGGGAGCATCGGGAAAGGCAATAGGTGGGGGCAGAGGCGACCTTGTGGGCTTTAAGGAGTCCGCCAGGACGGTGCCTCTACAATTTCAGGGCTCCTAATAGCTACTGAAAGGGCTGGAGTCATTCCAGTAGATTCTATACAGGGAAAACAGCTGCCCCACCAAATTCTATCCAAAAGCAGAGTGATTTTCTCAGCTGCCTCCAGGGTGGGTTTTTGTTTTTTGTTTTTTCCTTTCCCAGCCCTCAGCTTGACTATCTTGCTGCAGGACACTCAGCTGTGGCAATAAGTGAAAGGGGAGACGAAGGACAAACGCGCCTGACACACAACCCAGGCACAAAGCTGGGAGCCACGCTGGACTGCTAACGAGGGACTCTCTCTCAAGCAGTGTATTTTAGGACGCAAGGGCTCAGGGTAAGAGACGGATGCTCCTGGGTCCCGGGGCCCAGCACCGATCGCCAGCGCATCCTGCAAGACCAGCATACCGGGAGGAAGCTGGCTGCGTGTCAATGGAGCAAGGAGGAGCCCAGTTACAAGGGCTCTTCAGGACCTGAGGCCAACCTGGCTCCTTCAAAAAGTCTCAGGGCCTTTGAATCCACTTTAAAGTGACCCAACAGCACCCCCTAGTGGAAATTATAAATAAAACAAGGGCCATGCTTCCAGTTCACCTTCTGATACGAGTGGTTCCAAGAGTCATCGTCAAACGGAATAATACAAAAACAAACCTTATCTTTAAAAGCATAATAATTAGAAAAAAGGTGGGAGTTCAGAAGCCATCCTTAGGCCCCTCACTGCCAAATCAGCCTCCCTCCTGTGATTCTCTGCCTTCGACAAACACACTCTAAGATGAGGGGGCACGGACGGGGGTGGGGAGGGCTCCCGGGACCCTCAGAGTTTGGGCAGACTGCCCGCTGGGGCCAGGACGATGCCAAAGACGTAGAAGAGCCCCAGCAGGAGGTTGAGTTTGGCAGTCCTCTGGGGCAGTTTGTTGAAAGCCTGGCTCCGGAACTGTCTCTCCAGGGAGAAGGCCATGGGAATGGTGAGCAGGGGCAGGGCCAGGCTGATGCTGCAGCGTGTGGCCAGGATGCTGAAGATCAGGTAGGGCAGGAAGAGCAGCGTGTTGTAGAGCATGTAGGAGAAGGTGGGGCCGATGAGGATGGCGAGCGTCACGATGCCGGCCTCCCTGTCGGATTCCATGTCCCTGGTGTTGTTGGAGTGGAGAATGGCCTCGGTGCTGAGGGCGAGGGGGATGGCGTAGACCAGGGGGAAGACCGCCAGGGACCCCACCTGGACGGCGTAGGCGAACATCACGGCCAGCGGGCCGAAAGTGATGAGGATGACGAGGTCTCCCAGGGCCACGTACTTGAATCCGATTCCTACGGCCAGAAGACCCAGAGAGGAGGTGTGAGATCCAGGGCTGGAAACGGATGGCCGGGAGCAGGGGGTTCTCAGAGACCACAGGCAGTCGGCAAGCTCCCTGCTCTCCGGAGCACACCTGAGGTTGTCTCCAGTGACACAGAGGGGCAGGGAACACTCCTCTCTTAGCACCCAGTTGGGCTTCGGGTCGTCCCCACGCTCTCCTTCCTACTGTCCCCCAGCAAAGTCCTACAACAAACAGCAGTGGGCTCCCACCACACGCGATTCAACGGGGGAGCCCATGGAGGATCTAAATGGTCTCACGGGCCACTTTGGTTTCTCTCTCCCTTCGCCGGCCTGTGCGAGACATCGCTTCCGTCGGTCAGTGCCTCACAGAAGGCCCATCCCAGTCTCTTACTTTTCTCCCTCCTTCTTCCACAGCCTCTAGTTTAGAAAACCCGCAGCGAATCTCAGTGAAATCTGATGGTGCCCAAACTCCACATAAAGAAACCTTCGTCCACATAACGAGTAAAACGGCTAAGACGAGGCTCCCATGCTGCTTCCCTTCTCTGGTTCCCGTGAAGTCCAAACTAACTCCCCCCAGCTCCTCTTCCCCCACGAAGTTCAAACTAAATCCTCCCCCTGCCCCGTGAACTCCTCCTGGACTGCCAACCTGCTTCAAATCCTGTCTAAACCACTTCGTCAGAACCTGCCCAGTTTTCTCCAGCGATGCCACACTCCATCTGGCCTCACTCCCATCTCCAAAGAGGAGTCATGGTCATCCTATGCCTGGAACATGGTGACAGCCATGCTTATGACCC